ACTTCACATTCTTGAGTAGCTGAATTCTCTTTTCGGAGAGTTGCTTCATTTGGTAGTTTGTTTTGCATGTTGGAAGAAACTACAACATTGTGTAGAGGTTCTATTACTCTTTTGGTTTTATTCTTTTGATATTTCTTATATTGTTGTTTGAGTTCAACTGCCTTTTTAAATTGCTCACAGTCTTTTTTTAGATGTTCTTCTTTGTCACAAAAGAAGCAAACCTTAGAAGCTGACTTCCATTCAGTTGTGACTTTGTTGTTCTATAAAAAGATATAGTGTAGAATTCTTGCTTTGAGTTCTGAATTATCAGTTGTCTTAAAGATTATGATCCATTGGTCAGTTGTGTAAGGAGTTCCTTCAATAAGAAGTGGCTTAATAGCTGTAATTTTTCTGAAATTTTCAAAGGTCTTCAAAATTGCTTTAGAAACTCGTTCTTTGTTGTTAAGTGGTACATTTCTGACCTTAATAGGCAAAAATGATTTTCTATTATCTGTAGAAATGAATCCATAATAGGTTTGGTTAAAAATTACTATGCTCTTGCTGGCATAGTGTCTAAGCTGCTCGTTGTTAGCAAATGCTAGTTTTAAATGTATTCTGTTACCTTTGGCAAAGTATTGTTTTGCAGTGATTACATCTTGTCCTACATGTTCATATAAAGAAATCATAATTTATTAAAGAAGTGGTTTAAGCTTCTAATATTAAACACCAATGCATTATCATTTTTTGACTTAATAGAATTTCTAAGAGATGAGTCAGAGTATGTAAACTGCCTCTTTTTTAATTTTGCAAAAAGGCTGGACCATTGCTTTTTGCCCCCTTGGAGTGTATCTGTATTAGTATGTATTTCAATATATAGATTGGCATATGCTTTACTGTATACATCAGGTTGTATCTTAGTATGTGTTTCTGCATCAGCCATGTGACTATCTTGTTTATCATCATATGATGCTTTGTGTATATGTGTCTTTGTTGTTGTCAGTTTGCTGCTTGTAGCATTTTCTTTTCTAGTAGTTCTAGCTTTTGGGTTTTTATTGTTGTTTTTCTTTGTAGTGTTACTTTCTTGTTCTATTGCCAAGATAACACTTTTATTTAGTTTTTGCTCTACTTGTTTATCCCAGTTTGCACTGTTGTTCGAGAGAAAACTTGTTTTGTATTCTATAATTTGCTTATTTAGAAGGAAGTTTGTTTTGAGTAAAACTCTTTTGTGTTTTCGAAGATTAAGTAGTATAAGTCTACATTTCTTAGGAACAAGAGCCTTTGCCCTAGTTTTAATAAAAAATAAAGGATCTTTGCTTTCTTTGTTAGTTGTTTTTTGTCGATGATAAAAATCCTGTTCAAAACAGTGATGAACAGAAAAGAGTTTTAAAACTGTTTTTTATCTTAATGTTATTGCATAATTTGTTATTGTTTTTAATTATGACTTTTATTGTTTTGTTATATAAAACATATAATGTTATAGTGTATTTTATTGAAAATAAACTGTTTTGTCTATTTTTTGAACTTTTGTATAATGTTCAGAAGAATATAAAAAATTAAAATGTTTTTTTTTTTTTTTTTTTAACTTTAGTAACAATGCTAGTTGGTTTATTAACTTTAATTTTGATATAGTACAGATTTTACAGTTACATTTTTAGAATCAATTATTACTAATACTATATACTATCTAATTTTATACTATTGACTTTACTTGGTTATCCTTATGGCACCTAAGTGCATGTTCATTGTATGTTTGCATGCAGTTATCTTAACAACCACTTGTGGTTATAACATATATTAAATTATTACATAGACAAAGATACCTACTGAACTTAATGTGGCATTCTAAATGCCGGGAGTACTGTCTTCTGTAAATTGTATCTATGTGTTCCACTCATATGTTTTATCTGGTCTTGTTTCTTCTGCCTTCTAATTTAACTATATCTAGTATTACCTTGTTCCTTATATTTCTCACCTTTTTGTTATTGTATCACTCTCAAATTGGTCCTACTCAGATATGTCTGATCTTTATGATCTTCTCATCTTTGGTATGCCTGTTATTATTTCTCCTAAAGTGTTCTAACAATGGTTTAGGATCTGTAATAAACCTGTATCTTAAGCCAGATCTGCTATCACTATTAGTCTTTTTTGACTAATTCATATTTCAAGCCAAATCTGCTATTACTGTTCCTGTAGATGCCTTAGATCTTAGCATTATACAATAACTTAATGCTGCATTTAACCTCCAACATAATGCTTTTTTTTATAATAGAGACTGAGACTTGTTGCACTTACAAATAGGACAATTCTAATTATACCTAAAGAGTTCTTTTGATCCTAGTAATATCATATTACCATATATTGCAAGCTTCCAGCTTATTTAACAATATTTACAAGACAATTCTGATTATGTTTAAGGAGTTATATTAATTCTAGTGATACCATACTACCTTGCAGATCTTATCTCACATTGGTTAATTAATTCTTAGTTTTGTTTGTTATAGACTTCCATATAGGTATGATCAGAATCTAATTTGGTACTTTTATATTATACAAGAAAGTTATACATCTATTTTCAAGATCTTTTTTTTTATAATTAGATTATTTTGACTGTATCAGAGATGCTTCTAATTTTTGGTTAGACCAATCCTTTATTACAGTCTGTTCTCATATTCACTGCTTCTCTTACCATTCCAGTCTTGGTTACTTTCAAACTATTCTCCCAATCAAATCCTCTTTTTGGATCTCAATTAATAGTTATTGTACAATTCATTGATTATCCTTCTAAGCAAATACTCTATAAATTGGATGCAAAGATGTTGGTACTGCTTATATTAGGAGGTATAAAGATGTTGGTACTGTCCTAACCTAAAGGACTTACATGCACAATCCTTCTATAACTGTAATCTTCTATAACAAACACTTGTTATGCATAATGCCTTCACTTCATGATTGGATCTCTTTTCAGAAATTTCTATTTCCATTATTGTACTATATTTGAACTTTAAGCATAGGACTTCACATTTAATTACAGACTTTTTATTAGATTACAGAAGCTAAAATCTTTCAATTTTGTCTCTAGTTAAACTTGAACCATTAATCTTGACTATAGAGGGTATAGAAGTTTAACTGCTAAGCTATAAGACTCATACTCTTAAAATGTCTTCTTTTTGATTAAATATAAGTTGTTTTTATATTATTATTATTCTGCTTTATTTTATAACTATTTATATTTTGTTTATTGCTTCTTAGTATATATACAGATATATATTTTGTTTCTTGTTCTTGGAACAAATTAACTTTTACTAAGTTCTTAGAAGACTGATTTTTGATCTTATTAGCTTTAATGCTTGTTTTGTTAATTAGTATAGTAGTTAATGTTATTGTAAGAGTTTGTTTTTTGCATTTATGATTGTTTTTTGTATATTATTCAGTTTATTTAAGCTTTATCTACTATAATTTAAATTTTTTTTCTATTTTATTTATTTTTTAATGATTGTTAGGAAGAGTGTAATGGATAAATTGTATTGTAAAAATGATATTCAAAAATAAGAAGTTTATTTTTACTTATTATACTTAAGTTTTGAAACTAAAAATTAAAGTTGTTATTTTTAATTAATAAATAAAAACTTGTTTTTTAGTTTAACTTTTTATTTAGTTAATTTTTTTTTAAAAATAATATTATTTATTGTCAGTGACAATACCATCAGGAATCTATATCTCAAAAACCTACTAGCTAACACATGTTAAAGATACTAAGTAAAAATATTCAAAACCCTTCAAAAACTGAACTTAAAAATTTGAACCTTTAAATCTAACCCTAACCTTGGTCTAAAATTGCATCCTAAATTTGATAAAAGAAATAATAGGTGGTGGTATCGCTACCAGTAATAAAAATGCTAAAATTGATTTTATTATAACTTATAAATGAATAATATTTAAACGTAAGTGAAGCACAAAATTCCAAAGGCATTTAAAGCTTCTTTTCGAAAAGACTAAGAGACTTTCATAGGTATTAATTATGGTTACCTGTTATTGTCAATACGTAACATAAAATTGTTCAATCACGAGAAGATTGCCATGACTAAAATATTATAAGCAACGTGAAATTTTATAATAAACATTAATTTGGATTTAACCAGTTTCAGGGATTTTTTTTCTCAATTTCAGATTTTAGGCGAAAAGTATCGGACTTTGAAAAAGGATTTAGCTGGAACATTAATATACTTTAAAATGCTAGACTTTCGTTAGTATGACTTTGAATACTTTTCAGCAATTAATGTTCCATTAAACTGTCATTTGTTTCTGCATTGAACTTGTTCTATAAAGCATGTTTGTTGCCCATTAACACTTCTTTTTTTTTTTTGTCGCACATCATTCGGTTGAGTTTGAATGTTCATATATCCTATTGCTATATAATATCTTTAGTAATTAACAATAAGACAGATTAATTATGAAAGTGTTTCAAGTTAAAGCTTATGCATGTATGCCAAGCTTTCGAAAGAGAACCCGATTGTCAGAAAACTTAAGTGTATTAACAATGGAGTGTATAGGATACGATACGAATGTTTGTTCATAGAATTCCTACGATTCCAATTGTTTAACTTTTTCAAAACTACACAGTCTCCTTGTTGAAATCGGTTAACACATATGTTTGCATTAACTGTAAAGAAACCAAGAACTGCTTTACGAAAAAAAAATCATTTTATCAAACTAAGATTTCAACATTTGTTGTATCACTGTATCACCGATCTGTCTATTAAATTTTGATTGGCCATTACAAATTTAGGCGCCCGCAGTAATAAATAAACTTTAACGGTGATAGTACCATAATAACTAGTATTATACCAATACCAGTGGTCCAGTGGTGCTAATCATGGCTAATGAACATCCACAATCCAACCTTTCTCATGCTGAGAAAAGTCTAACATTTCATTCAACACAACAAAGTTTATATAGCTCAGCATTCAATAGATTTCTTTCCGCATCGCCTCCACCTCGGAGTTCTAAAAATAATCCAGGTTTTGGGGGTATGAAAGAAATTTTTTAGATTTGTTTCTATCAAGATTTTGAAATTCATTTCATTTTATTTTTAGCCTTGTCGGAAGTAAAATAAGTCATAATTGATATATTATTATTACTTAGGGATTTTTGATGATAATCTTGAAGCCACAATTAAGAAATCAGTAACCACATTGACAGATGATGAAGATTGTGAAAAAACAATACGAAGTCTCGGTCTTGAGGACTCGCCAAAGGTTTGTTACATATATTTCGTATGGTAAATAATTAAATAGAGAGATAAAATCAAATATATATTTAAAATGAATAATAATTATGTTTTTTTTTTTTTTAAAAAAAAAAAAAGGAATCTATTGGATACAGCAAGCCTACGCGTTCAGCAACTTTTCCATTATTACCATCACATAATGATCATAATAGTAATGGTTATTTAACAAGCAATGTTACTGCTTCAACTTCATCACCTTGGATACCTTCAACACCTTTTTCATCAATTCAAACAAATCCATTGAACAATACAGAAGGATATTTTTCACCTCAAACACCCGATCAATATTACAATAATGGGTTATTTGAATCTAATGTTCGAAGATCCGCTACTATAAGTAATATTCAAGGCAATGGTACTATACACGATGATGGACATGTAGAGTTTGCACATGGTTTAGGAGGACCATTGGATTATAACGACACTAGTGGAGTATCTACTAGTGCAGTAACACCATCTTCGCCTACAAACTATTTATCTCAATCTCATTTTCAATATAGACCGTTTGTAAATCCTTTACAGCAAACTCAGACTCCACAACAATCACAACAATCACAACAGTTGCAATATCAACAATTTCAATTACAGTTGTTACAACAACAACAACAACAATTGCTTCAACAACAACAACAACAACAACAACAGCTTCTTAAACAACAACAACAACAGCTTCTTAAACAACAGCAGCTTAAACAAAAACAATTTAATCTTCCAATTTGGAGTACATCAGTAGCTTCAGACTTACATAGTCGATTAGATAGCAATGGAGGAATAGTGACAGATGATGGAGTTTCTGGGAGTATGGCATTATATGATCCAACAAATAGTGATGAAATTATACGAGATAATGGAAAATTTACAACAGGTAATGACGGTAAGGACTTTAATAATGAATTAAAATTAGACATTCGTAGCCTTCAAACTATTATGACAGCACCTCCAGGATTAGATAATTATCTTAGTCCAGCATCACCGAGATCTGATCATGCAGAACATTATTTCAGTTCCACGATGGTGTCAGGTCTTACATCACCATCTTTAGCTAATGTAAATTCTGGTAAAAACATTTTTGCGAACGACATGGCAGGAAATGGAGGAGGAGGACAAACAATAAATGATTTAACTAATTCGTTGAACAGCATGAATATAAATAGTAATGGTATAGAAATGCGTAAAGAGACATCACCTGACATTTCTAATGTTCAAGTATCAGGACAATCTATAAGTAATAAACAACAAAAACAATCATGGGCAGCAGTTGCTAAAACAAGACCTCAACCACCACCACCAGTAAATACATCACAAGAAGTTATAGGTGGAACTTATAGTGCAGCAATCTCACCTTCATCAGCAGTTTCACCATCATTTGCAAATAGATCAATGTCAGCACCTCCTGTAACTTGGACTAGTAAAACTAAAATCGTTGGAACACCTACAGGAAATGGTATTGGTAGTATTTATACAACAAATCCTATGATGTCTATTCCCCCAACTCCAAGTACGAGTAAAAAAGATATGTCATCGTTTATGGCGGAGAGAGGATATAATCCCAAGGCTTTTAACTGCAAGCCACAAAATGTAAGTTTTAATATGCATTTGTATTTTCCCAATACATATATTCTGTGGATAATTTTTTTGTTATTATTCATAAATATAGGCACGATTCTTTGTAATCAAGTCTTATACAGAAGATGATGTTCATAAATCACTAAAGGTTAGTTTCTTTATATATATATATTGATTATTGGAAATTTTTTTAAATATATCAATATATCAATATATTAATATATTAATGATTTTTATGGTTATAGTATGACATTTGGGCTAGCACAGAAATCGGGAATCGTCGTTTAGATAAGGCATTTCGTGATAATGCCGATAAAGGACCAATTTATTTGTTCTTTAGTGTCAATGCTAGGTGAATATTATAAAAATGATTTCAAATATATTTATAATTAATTATTCACATATATTTAACGATATTTAACAATATTTAATAAATTGAAATTTTTTACATTAGTGGACATTTCTGTGGTATGGCGGAAATGCTTACACCAGTAGATTATACAACAAGCAGTAACGTTTGGCAACAAGATAAATGGAAGGGAGTTTTTAAAGTTAAATGGATTTTTGTTAAAGATATTCCTAATGGGCAATTGAGACATATTAGAATAGTGTATGTATCGCTAAAATTTAGTAATTATAAAAATTTAAATGTACACTAATATATTTTAAATTTCATGTCATGGGGTATATCACAGGAACAACGAAAATAAACCGGTCACAAATAGTCGTGACACGCAGGAATTATATCTCGAACCTGGTCGCGAAATGTTGAAAATATTTTTCGATTATCGTAGTAAAACTTCAATACTTGATGACTTTGAATTTTATGATAAACGTCAACAGGAAATGCGAAAAGAAGGGACAACACCAGTGGGTAATGATACAAACGGCTGGCTTCCATCGGCTAACAGTTCACTAAAACAAAGCTGAGCTATTTTTGATTTTTTAGCCGATCCATTTTTTCACCTAGCCGATCAAAGAGCCGAGCTAAGCTATGGCTATAAGTTTTATCGTTATCATTTTCGTTATAAGAAATAGTATTTTTTTTTTCAATAGCATTAGCGATAGCGTTAATACAAATATTTATGTAATTAATAATTTGCGAATGTCTAGAAACATATTATAAAAACAGAACACTTTTTTTTAAAACAAAAATAAAAAAAAAAAAAAAAAAACTAAGAACATTTTTTTAAAACAATAAAAATTTTTTAACCCCATTTTTTTTATATCTTTTAAAAAAAAAAAAAAAAAAAGAGCTAAACTTTTTAAAGCATCTCACATGAATGCTTGGTCCGAAGTAACTCGGATTGGATACATTAGTTCTAGGAAAACGAAAATTGGTAAGGTTTAACGTTTATCGTTATTGGTAAAGTAAATATGTTGTATGTATCTTAAAACAAAATTAACACGTCATCATTTTTGAGCAGATAAATTAAAGTATATATAATAAAAAAAAATCCAGTTTGATTTTTAAGAATTGAAAAATCAAAAGCAAACATTTTGATTTGATGAACCTTGAATGCATAACATCAATATAGTAGTTCATTATATATTCATAATCCATATAGATTTGTAATTTCATAAAATGATTTTTTTTAAAAAAATCCAGGTTTACAGTCTGGTTCAGTTTTATATGAATTAAAGAGTCACTAAATAATAATAAAAAAAATATACAGAACGATCAATTGTCATATCTTTTAGTTTATAAGTATGAAACAAAATCTAATTTTATATCAAATCCTGGTTTTGTTGTAATTTGAATAATAAGCAAGATTATTTGTAAGGCATAAATGATTGTTGTTATTATGGTAAGTAATAAATAGATTTATTATAATAACTGTTTCATTTAGTTGTTAACGTCCTGATTTTTTAGCTTTGTAGTAATCATAACAAGGTGTGAAGCATTTTATAAGATATCTATGTGTCGTTGTACAAAATATCTTAGTATATAATAGTATTTAAAATAGATTTCAGTACGTACTCTATTGTTATTAGATGTGTTTATATGGATCATGAAAATTAATAATGAAAAGTTCATTAAAGATCCATTTGAACGATTATTATCTTATCATTATGACATGTATATATGTATTTTATTATAGATTTATTAGAGATTTATTATACGTATAACTATAGTTTATTATTATTAGTCTATCATATAATAGTCTTATTCTAGTGATTGGTTTACGATTGACTTATGACTATAGATCAGATTCACATTACATCGTTATTTTTTCATATGTAAATCTTGGGATAATTAATTAAAATTTTCTGAAGATTAAATCGATAAGTTATTGAATCGGAATTAATAAATTACTGAAATAAAACAAAATCATCGTTAATTAGCTAAGCTGATCGGCTTACAGGTTTGAAGAATCTTTATATCAGTAGGATCAACAAGTCCTGGGATCCCTACGCTAATATGGTAAATGTCACCCTGTTTTGTTCTTAGCTTATATAAAACATATAAAATTTTGACCTTCATATAGTCACAACTTTTTATAATCAATTTTTTGTTCCCCGGTCTGGTGATTATTGAATAATTACGTTAATATGTACGTATCAGTATGAAATGATAACTTTGACTATCATAATGAGAGCAGAAAATCCGAATCAACAAAACTGATTGGTTTACAATGATTTATGATGGTTTATTATGATGGACTATGCATGAATTTTTTTTTTTCATACTTATTACGTAGCAGATTAAAAGGATAATGGACGATCTTTGACATACATTGTATACGTAATACAAATGTGATAAACTTTATATTTTTTATTAATAATAATTCTAATTCAAATTATTAGTGTTAATAAACATTAATGTTTAAATATATATATATAATTTATAAAAACATTATACGTACGTATGCGTATTTATAATTAATGTTTTGTGTTAATTAAAATGATTTGTTCAAAAATATTACAAATTATGCGTATGGGTGACGCTAAGGGAAAAAAGAAACTTTTGAACTTTCAAGTTTATTATTTGTTATTTACTACGTAGACTCAGCCCTGATCAGAAACATATATGTATGATAAATAAGTAAATTTAATTGTGTCATGTGCCGTCGTTATGGCTGAATCCGGTAAACAATAAAAACAATTAACTTGAATTCCTAAAGTCTGTCTTTCCTTTTGGCGTCACTCATGACTTATGAATTTTAATACGTATGTAACTATGTATTGTACGTACTTACGTATACAGTACGTAATCATTTCCGATTTACTCAAATTAATAAAAATAGTTCATTTTTACGTATATAATTAGCAATGAAGATTTAAATTTCGTATATTATCTATTAAAAAATCAATTTTAATTTTAGAATCAATCATTCATATATCGATACGTATAATTGCATATTTGATTATTTGATCGACAGGGAAAGGTGCGTAACGTAACCTATCGATCGGTCACCTGAGGTACGCAAAGATTTGATTATGAATTAGTTATACGTACAAATAAATAACGATAATAAAATAATTTAAATTTATGATTGAGTGTTGCAGAGCGAAAACCTGTAACAGATCATAGTAAATCATTAACTACAGTTACAGGTTTTTACTCTGCAATACATTCATTTAATTTGTATTAACGTTAAGAAAATTACAAATTAAAGTTAATTTTATACGTACGTATATTTTTAATTAATCTTTGTTTAACAGTTAAGTAAAAATAATTACAATGTACGTACTGCACGTACGTATACGTAGAATTTGCTTAAACATACCGATATGTATACGTAAAGTACTATTAATAATATATTAATATTTATTTTTTTTGTTTTTTTTTATAAATTTTATTTTTATTATCCTAAATTTTATTTTATCGATATATAGTATTAATTAAATTTTAAAAAATTTAGGATATTCTAAATTTATTTAAATATTAGTCAGTACGTATACATCTCGATATACGTATACGTATATAATTTAGTTCAGATAATCAAAGGTAACAATCACTTGCATAATAATTAATATTTATTTATTTATATTATACAATACAATTTATATCTAAATATATAGCTATAATTACTTGTGTAATTTATACATCTTTTTGAGTATAAACGATAGTAAGTCATATTAAGTTATATTAAAATGCTATCTATCCCAGGTAAATTTGTTCGGAAATTCATTTCGGATCTACCTTTTTAAAAAAAAATCATTTATTTTTTATTTATCGCATCCTGCGGTATCACGGTCAATCCTAGTTAGTAAATGCTTAAAGCTCTCACATAGCATACAAAAATTTTAATACTGCCTTAATAACTAAATTACTGGCACAACCATTAAACAGCAATGTATTTAATAACCACTTATTAGAGAACATATAACGAAAAAAATATATCGATATATAAATTAAACGCAAATATAAATATCAATCTGTGTAACTAGCAACGTTGCAACTTTATAAAATTTTTTATTAAATACAATTTTAGCGTACGTAGTAAATACAAGTGGTATGGATAAAATTCGTTTAGTATCGTAATGTTGAAATTCGTCGAAATATGTAATAGCTTAATAGGAACCTATAGAAATTAATACGTATTAATGTTATATTGTGTCGAAACAGTTAATAATAAAATTTGGTTGTAAAAAAAAAAAACACTAATCTTTAAAAAGGGAAAACTACGTCGGATCTACGTATTAAATTATAGTTATCGTTAATAAATAACATATCTATTAAAAGGCGATATAAAAAATAAATTACCATCATTATATTTTCGTGGCAAAGTGGGTTAGCTCGTTGTTTATCGACGAAATAAAACTGGGTTCGATACCTGGTAACAAAGAAAGTAAAATGTATGTGAACCGTGTTACAAAATCATAACTTTAGTTATGATTTTCCGGTACAAACACGGCATCACAGTTGTTCTACCCCTGTTTGTGGTTTCGTTTTTTTAATTACTCAAATGATATATAGTTATACTATAAATCTTCAAGCCTTAAGCAGAGGTGCCAATAAACGCACAACCATGCCATCTCCCGACTTGGTGGTGGCAAAGTGCGACTCTATTATTTTTTACCGACTTGCCACTCTTCAAGCCAAGAGTATGGCATGGCCGGCAAAAAAAAAAAGAGTTTGCACATACTTGTTGCAAGAAGTTTATAATATAATATCATCGAGTATGAAGATGAAAGGGGGATATGTATTGTATAATAACAACTAAGAAAATGTGATCTTTATATACTGTATATTCAATGCATTTTCTGATTTGTCATCATCAAAACATACACGATTTTCGGACTTATCAAAACAATCAAAACATACACGACTATCGGACTTATCAAAACAAAACAAATTCGCGTCTTTATAATAAATTGAAAATGAATATGAATTTGATATAAATTTTTATATATATTTTATATTAAGTAAATGAACTCTGTTAACGTTCAGAACGGAACGTTTATAAAACTTTATTATCTACATTATTTTTTTTATCGAAGGATGTCGTGTGACGTAATTTCGTTTTTTAACTAAACACGTGTGTCGTGTCATAGGGAGAAATCGTCTAATTGGATAATTTATTTATCGTTATTGTTAGATGTTTTTTTTACAGCTGTTTTCAAAAAGGTGTGAACAACGATTTCCATATACCTATGTAGGAAATCGGAAATTCTGATTACGTAGTAAAAATTGAATGCCCGATTAGCACTGACTTTGAAGATTCTGGAAATCAGTGAATTTCTCAAGATATGGTAATCTGCGTCTGTTCACACCTTTTTGAAAACGGCTATAAAGTACTTTTTTTTATAACTTTATGTTCCACTACCATAAATATCGTTTATAACTTTAAAAAAGTTTCAACGTTCACTCAACAAAAAGAATAAAATTCCCCAAGAACTTTGCAAAATATATTATACGTTACACTGTAGAATAGACCTATTCAACGTTAAGGATTTTAGATTTATCAGATTTATCGTTATTAATAATATACCTATCTTTTATATATATAATATAACAAATTAATTCTTTCGTATATATTTAATTTAAAAGCTTCTTTAAAGTTTTTCGGTTTCAAATATTATCAATAAAAAAATTAAGTAATTTTTTAATTTTATTGCTGTATTGATGGAAAAAATCTAACAATTTTTATCACATGCGATGATAAGATGACTTTTTAGTTGCACTTGATCGAAATTAACCCCCCCCTGAAATTAGATCATCTTGCACGCATTATTGCATTAGCCTATAATTCTTAGGTAGGTAGGTGTAACTTCAAATGCAACTTCAGGCAGGTATTAACTTTTTTTAAAACAAAGAATTTTGTCGATTTTCATATTTTTCATATGGTTTTTTTTTTTTGTTTTAACCGATTTTAATCAGTTTTCTCAGTTTTACAGTTTTAATGAGTTCATAATAAATCCAGTTCTGTTAAGTAAAAAAATAAAATAAAACCGGTTCAACCTCTGATCTTAACGATAAGAAATAAATTACATATTTAAAGTTATTTATACGTATTATTAATACAATATATATAAACTTATTTCAGTATTTTTTACTGTATTGCAGTATTGTACACCAACACACAAGTACACAGCCGGAAAAACAAGCCCCAGAATTATGATCACGAGATATTAATTCTGTAAAATAACTGGTTAATCTATAAAATCTTTATTTGAATTTTGATAATTTGATAGCCACACATACACCCTTTCTCACGTACGTAACGAGCAAATAATAATGACTACGAATACTAAAGAATTTGATGGCTGGAGTGATACTCCTCCTAAACAGGTTGAGGAAGAAAAAAGTTTGGATGACCCTCCTAAAAATCTTTCAAAGAACGAATATCGAAAAGATACTGAAGAAAATCGTAAAACTAGTGAATCCGAAACTTCGGTAAAAGATAAAAATACTTTAGAAGTTACTACTGAAGAAAATATTGAACCAGGTGGTTGGGGCTCTCCCCCAAAAAGTACTGAAGATGATAGTTGGGGTTCGTCTCAATCTCGAAATAATAATAATAATAATAATAATAATAATAATAATAACAATAATAATAATAATAATAATAAATGGAAAAAAGATCCTTCTGCTAAAAATGATAAAAAAGATTTCAATGAATCAAGAAGATATAGTAATTCTTCTCAACATTCTAAAAAATTACAAAATGATGAAAGTGGTTGGGCTTCAAATAAACCTGTTGATAATTCCACCCAGAATGATGGTTGGGGTACTGTAGATAAATCCACTGAAAATGAAAAATGGGGTTCGACAAATAGTAATGGTTGGAATCCTTCTACAACCGATGATTTTAATAAGGATCATCATAAACATGATAATCCTTCTCGTGGAGGACGTGGTGCTCACCGCGGAAGAGGAAGGGGTGGTCATCAATACCCTCGTAATGATCGTAACGACCGTAACGACCGTAATGATCGTAACGACCGTAATGACCGTAATGACCGTGATAATCGTAATGATCGTGATAATCGTAATGATCGTAATGATCGTGATAATTTTAGAAATGATTTTAAAGGTGATTCGAATTTTAGAGGTCATAATCAACGGTCTTCTTTCTCACGAAGTGGTAACGATAAATATAATGGTAAATAAATTTCATTTCATTTTCAATTTAAAAATATTTTTTTAAGGTATATATCAATTAGAATTTTTTTTTTATATAGATAATAATCGTGAGAATGGTAGCAAAGATGGAAGTATTAGTGACCAAAACCCGTATGCACAAAAATCTGGAAATTCTAATGATAATACTCATACAACTAAACCAGAAAATACTCCTTATGTGAATAAAGATCGTGTTTTATCTGGTGGAAGTGTTAGACAGGTTTGTAGATGACTATTATTTGACGATTTGACTATTTGATCCATTTGACTATTTGATCCATTTGACGATTTAATTATTTGAATTATTTGACCATTTGATCCATTTGACGATTTAATTATTTGAATTATTTGACTATTTGACTATTCTTTATAAAAAAAGAAAGTAACTTTGGATTAATAAATTTATTTATTTTACAGAAAGTTGACGAAGAAGAATTAGAAAAACGAATGCAGCGAATCCGCCTTCAAAATGAAAAGATCATGGAAAAAAGAAAGGTATTTTTTTAAAATGTATATGTAGAACTTCATTTTGAGTTACACATTTATATTAATTTTATTCTAATACATAAAGATGGTCGAAGAAGATGAAGAAAAATTCCGTAAGGCAGAAGAAGAAAGAAAAAAGAAAGAATTAGAAGACCAAGAAATTCAAAAAAAATTACGTGAAGAAGAGGAAGAAGAAAAGAAGAGACGTGACTTTCAACAAAAGCAGTTACAAGAACAACTCGAGTAACTTTTTTATTATCTTAAATTTTTTTATATATTTAATTTACATTCAATTCATTGATAACAATCCTTCTTTTTTTTTTTTTATCAAGTAATGAACGAGAAGAAAATGCTCAACGTAAAATTCAGAATCGTGATAATCGAGAATGGGATAAGGAAAAGGAAGAAACTGGTTGGAACTCTCAACGACAACAGAGAAAAAGTGCTGACCTTCGTTATTCTCCTAATAATCCTTATCTAAAGAACGGTCCTGATAATCGTGGAAATGATAATGACTATGGAAGTCATGGAAGAAGAGATTCTCGAGGCAACAATGATTATGGTGGTTATAATTCACGTAATAGCGAGTCCGGTGGATTCGGTTCAAGAAACTATCGTGGTGATCGCGGTGACCGTGGTGACCGTGATCGCGGTGATCGTGATCGTGGTGATAATGAGTATCGACGATCTGGTCCAAGAAACTTTCGTGGTGAAAATAATGATTACGGTGGCTCAAGAGGGTATCGTGGTGGTTCTGGTGACCGTGGTAGAGGGCGTGGAAATTCACGTAGACCTATAAGACGATATAGTGATCAACATCGTTCCAGTAAATCTACTGATGAAGGTGGCTTTGGTAGTGGTAATAGTTGGGCTGAACAACAAGAACAAGAAGAAATGTTGGGTAAAACTAACCTCCCTTGGGAATCTGATGCAAACGCCGAAGATACTAGTTGGAGTAATTCTAATGGTATCTTTTTCAATTTTTTTCAATTTAATTTTGTATATTTATTGGCCGAAATTACTAATTATCATCGTATATTTTCATTAATAAGGTTGGGAAAAAGGTTTGGTTGATTGATACGATTTTATTCTGTATATTTTTCATCAATATCAATGTTTGTTTAAATACATTTATGTTTTTCAATTATGTTTTTCAATTATGTTTTCAATTATGTTTAGAGACGACTGCTGACAAAGATGATGGATGGGGTGAAAGGGGTAACTCTAATGAACACAGTGGTTGGAATTAAATTTCTATGGTAAATATATATGCATATATTCTTTTTGATTTCTTACTAGTTAAGAGCTTTTTAATTCTCATTCAAAATACTGAAATATCTCATCTTAAATTTCTTAAAATATTTTAATTTTTACAATAGATATACGACTCGTCTAAATACACAATTGAGCCGTCTATGATCAATGTAACAATATACCTAGACTCACTTGGTATATATTCTAAACCTATAATTATTTATTATAAATTTACTGTTCCTGTTATTAACCATTAACCTATGATCTTATTAGGTTTAAAATCGCTACTTTCAGGTATAATGAATGGTTGGTGATTTGTGCTAATCTGCGTACAATTACCAGAACTGAATCAAATAAATCGTAAATCGGTAAATATATATATATTTTTTTATATCCTATCTGAATAATTTTGTTACATATGTAATTTATTATCTTTTTTGAATTTTTCATAATTGTTTCACAGCATATTTCCTTATTTGCTGCAATGCTGAAGAATTCACAAATAATTGCCGTGATCCCCTTTTTTTAACATCATTGAAATGCGGAATTTTTAAAGTGGTTTGTCTCGTTAAACCGATGTATACATTTACATATACATACAACATTTACATATTTTTTTAAATGTATTTTCATGTTTATATAAATATTAAATAAAATATTAAATAAAATATTAAATAAAATATTGAATAAAATATAAATCAATTTTCAATTTTTGGCTTTTTATTATATCCAATTTTTTTATTACTCGTTTCTTTTTAAAAAAAATTAAGTTAGCATTAGTAAGTTAAATTGTTTCGATTTAATATTACTAATATAAAAAACTTTCAACATAGTTTTGAAGCAATGCATTGTTCAGGATTTATTCTCCGATAATTAACTTTCTGATTACTTTTTGATTTTTGAAACTTTAAAGCGGGATATCAATTAAATTTTAAGGATGTTCCGCACAGTCCGGATCGGGCCGGGTTCGTATAGAACTGAGCTCGTACCGTACCGATTGTTCGGTTCGAGTCTAGACTTGAACCCAGAACTGAACCCTCAAGACCCTAAACCTAACCGGCAAGCTATGATAGATGTTATAACAAGATGACTTAAAGCTGTTTTTCGTAAATTTTCGTAAAATTTCAATAGGCCAAATAGATAAGTTACAGAATCAGTGTGTAGTTGCCGTTCAAACTGTTTGAAACGGCCCAAACCATGCGATGATTAGCATTACACATGTTTGACCTAGTTTCAACTAACAATATTACCCAAACCCGAATAAAGAGGTAATAGACGTATATAAGGTAGATATAGGTATTATGGTAGGGTTAAGAATAGCTAATAATAAAAGTTCACAATAAAATCTTATTTATCTTTCAAACTTGTTTTACAAATAATAGATATGATTTATTTATCGATTCGCCAAAAAGAAAGACGTTTTCATATAACAACTATTATTATTTTTTATTTTTTTTGAAAGCGATCCCAAAATTACGATTTTAACGATTAAAGGTATTGTGGCGGAATGATGTATATCAAAAATCGACCAATCAAATGTTAATACGTATATACATACTGAACTCATGAATTTTGTAAAAGTGAACACCAGAGTGTTCAGCTATTTCTAGCATCTAAAATAGCACTAGCGATATCACGAAAACAGTCGAATAAAAATTTTCTTATTTTATTTTATGATCGGATTAAAATAGAACAAATATTGTTAAATTTGTTATTGCTATATGGTTGTCATAATATCATTGGTGCTATTTTAGATATTAGAACTAGCTAGATACTTGCAAACATTATTTTTATTTTTTTCATTTGGTTTTTTTTTCTTTTTTTGCTTACTGATTTCTTGTTTTCATGCTTTTTCTAGTTTATGATTGGTTCATTTTAAAGCAGCAGTTTTTTTATTATTATTTTTTTTTTTTTTTTTTTTTTTTTTGGTATTAAGGTAAGGTTTTGCCTTTATCTTTATTAATAATTTGTTACAGGCAACTACATGAGTTGACACAGGCCAGAGCCAATTTACAAATTTTTTACAAGAATGAGACTCAGACTATAGATGAAATTATTATCTAATTTATCTAATTTATCTGCAACCTAAACCTACTAGAGTAGTTAAAACTCACCTAGATTTGATAATATAAAATATAATTAGTTGGAGTACTGCAGTTTATCCATTCAGATATCCATTTAGTTAGTTTTTTATTAGCTTTTCCTTGTAGTAGACAAGTATAAGAATTGTAAAAGTCTTCACTATATTGTTGGTCAGAAAGACCACAAGTGCAACTGTAAATATATATTGTTCTGGCTTGTGTTGAGAATCTAAGTGTATTTGTATAGTTTGTTTGATAGTTACGTGATAGTTAGTTAGGGATATTGTTTTGTTGCTTTTATTCAGATAGTTTGATGCAGTAAGGTTTCCAAATTTGGTTGTAGATATTTTGTAATAATTTAATTAGGAATTTTATTGTAATGTCAGTTGCTAGCTGATTGCTAATTGTGTATTCTTGTATAGTATTAATTAGTAAGAATGGAACAAAGCCTTGTATTGTTGTGTATATATTTGTGTAATTTCTAATAAGATTGTTTGGTAAGAGACATGAATGGTTGATAAGTTTATTGTGTAGTTCTTGTAGTTGTATAGTTGTTATATCTAGTTGTGAATAATTAAAAAATTGTTGTATCGTATTGGTGATAGTTGAGTTAAGTATAAGTGAGTTTGGGCAGGTTAGCCAATGTAGCTGACTGTCATATATATTACATGAAATGTAATTAAGATTAGAATATGTTGTTGGATAAAAAGAGTGTAGATAAGATAATGTAGGTAGTATTCCTAGCATCAGTTTGATTTTGAATGTTTTTTCTTAACATAAAGTAAAGCTAGTATAAGATATAGATCTTTTGTGATTGTGTTAAGAAAAAGCCAAGTAGCATTCTAGTTGATTTGCAAAGATAGATGAAGGATGTTTTTCATCTGATATTGAGAGGACCACATTGCTATGTTGTAGGCATTACTAATATTTTTAATAGTTCTACATGTAGGTTGTTCTATGACATATTTGTTATGATAGAGATTATATAATGGATTGTATATATTGGTATAAAGAAGACTGAGTGTGTGTGGTTGGTTTTGGTTTTTAGCTAGTTTGTCAGCTATGTCATTTAGCATATTACTACTATG